GTCTCTCAGCCTATATTACTAAGTATATTGTATGGTATAATTGTATTGCTATCAAAGTAATTTATTTTTCTGTTTGTTTAATGGTAGGTAGGTTGATTTAATTTTTTATAAAAACATTTAATTAATATTTAATTATTATAATAGTATAAATTGATGTTCTATATTATTATTTTTATTATTATTAACTTTCGAGTCAATAGCTATCACCTTACCGTAGAACGGCTTGAATATTAGGTTTCAGGTATAAATAGGCAATAGCTTAAAATTAATCTACTTATTGTGTAAATGTATATAATAAGTATGTACACGAAATATAATAGTATAAGTAAAAGTTTCAAGTCTCCGCCAATAATATTTTTAAATTGTAACTAAATAATTAAAATTGTTATTCTTCGTCCAGGTAACTTAAAACGTCTATGATAAAAAATGTCCCAAAATATTTTTTAGATTTCCTGGTTACAAAATAAACTTTTTATTAAGAACCTTTTTTCCAATTGTCGAGCTTAGCTATAACATTACTATATACAGTTTTAATTTTAACTATAAAATAATTTATAAATGTTGACGATTTTGACGAATCTTATAAAAATGTATACTTCAACTGCTCATAAAGTTATACAAAATTCGTCACTATGTATATTTTTATTTTTAAATGCCTTAAAACTACTTACGAAGAGCTTTGTATAACATTTTTAAAGATTTTTTTATCGATAAGTATAGAAAAAAATTAAATTTGGGATACAAATGGATATACTCTTGCATCCCGTAAAGCACAACTCGTAGCTGTTTCAACGTCTTGTATTAACTAAAGTTATTTAGTCTATAATGCAATGCATTATAATATAATATTGAGTTATGGAGTATTGTGTACGAAACAATTATTCGATCGATATAACGTAGGTACTTAGCAAACAAATCCGTTCTAATCTTTCCCGTCACTCGACTTGCCCCGTTCACCCGTTGCTATATAATATTATAATACGTTTCTCGTCGCTTTCCTGTATTACATACGCGCGGAGAATAATATTATGTACATAGCTAAATGGGTTCCTGCTATGCGTCACATAATAATTGTTAATTTCAGGTTCCCGCGCAGTTATTGAATTATTTCATGACGTTAAATTATAATTATAATTTATAATACGATACATCATTTCGAATTTTACCTCATTTTTTCTATATTCATTACAATATATATATATATGTGTGTGTGTGTGTGTATGTGCTATGACGTTTAGAACTAAGTTAAAAGCTACAGTGATAATTCTTAAAATAACGTTAAAAACATTTTTCCCGCAATATAGTGTCTATATAATTTGTTAAGTTATTGTATTTGCGTGAAATATACATATCAGTATACATCCCATTTTAAAGCACAGCCAATCGAACAATATTTTTATTTCCTTATTTTTCTGACATCAAATATTGTAACATTTTTTTATCATTGAGTAAAAAAATAACACTTCAATAATCCAGTATACTTTATACTTACTGCTGTTTCTGCGTCTGTCTCTATTTTGTATTATTGTAACTATACCAAAGTCTATAGGTAATATAACGTCTTGTAAGACTTTCTTCGGTAGAGAAATAAATTGTTCCCGAAGTGTTTACAAGCATGCTTGTACATGCATATAAATATGCAAATGATGGATATTGTCTTACTTGGGTATAAAATTGCATTAGACAGAATACATCTTCGTTTTGTAAAAGTTCTGTACAAACTCATATTGTAAACAACTCCTTTGATACCGCCGTTCTCTCTAGCAGCTTTAAAGCGCATTTTTAATTATACGAATTACAAATATATGCTCCCAGTACAAAATACCTTCATTCATTTTAATTTTTTCTGAAGTATATAACTTCTAGTGTTTAATGTTTAGGCGTCTAGATGACTAGATTCAATGTATATAGGTAGGTACTTATGTCAATAGCTATAATAGGTACATCGCAATGGTTTGTTAAAACCGGTTTAATTTGGACAAGAACTAGATATAGTCTTGTGAATGAAACTAATTTTTACCATAAAAAAATGAAAACTCTGGCTGCAGAATCGTTTTTATTTTTTCAATACCACTTTAACGAAATAAGCTATTTAAAAAAAAAGAAGTTGTTGCTCTAAAATGCGAGTGTGGAATGTCCACTTAAATATTAAATTGTTTTTTCTAAATGGTTCTAAATATATAACATTGTTTTATTGAACATTGTTATGGAAGATTCACAATCCGAACTCGTATGAGAAATCAGTACTTGTCTATGCATACATTAACGTAATATGATCACGTTTCGAGTGTGTGGCTTATATATATGCGCATTGGTTTTTTTAGGCAAAACTATTTATAACTAAACATCAAACTAGAACAATATATACCAGTTCCCATTTAATCCAATGCGCAGGTACTTGACGTAGAATTGAACATGTGTGATCTATAGGAATAACTGAAATAAAGTGTTAAATTAATAAATGTAAGTGTTGAATTAAGGATACAACTTATGAAATTAATGCTCTACCAAAGTTATCTTGGACTTTCTCAAAAAAACTCTGAGTCGCAGATTATTTGGTAAAATTGGTATAATCTCAATTATATTCAATTTCACATTGCCCTTATCCTTTCCACCCTCTTGTTTCTTAGAAAAACCACTATCAACTTTTGATATTCTAAATTATAATACTGTTATGTTTTTAATTTTATAACCGGAAGCATAAAAACGTTTAAAAACATTTTTTTTGTGTATAATATTGAATATAAATATTGTACAAAGAATAAGCGGCTTGCCGAATAATTTATTCGACAATAAATAGGATTTTTAAAAAATGGAATGTCAATTGTTTTAGAAATTGTAAAGCTCTCGAGTTGTATATACTGTTTATATTCGGTTTCATAATAAAACTACCTATCTACCTTTTAAGAAATACCAATTCCCTGCAACCTATACTACAGTTTACCTGGTAGTGTTTTGCAGTGCCTATTTTATATTTTACTATGTACGTAGGTACCTAGGTAGTAATAATTAATCAAAAATGTTTTTATGCCTCTCTTTAAATTTAAACGATGTTAACAACTAAATATAACTGACCGTCGCAGATTAAATGCTCATCTTTCGAAGAGTAATAATCTAAAAAAAACTACGGTGACGGAAAATCGGACATATAGAGAGTGTATGTATAGGGAAAAATGGATGACATATAGTGAGTAAAGTAGGTATATGTTAAATTGAAATGATGGCTGGAGTTTGGTAAGTACCTATAGTCTATAGGTATATCTATTATCTATATACATATAGGAAACCGCCCCTATTTACTCATCAACGCCCAGACCAAACCGCTGGGTCTAGAGACTTTAAATTTCATACAGAGGTTCCTTAGGCTAGTATATTATTATATATGGTTATACCGGTCTTGTTAAACACCATTTTTCGTGGCTTGCTCGTGTACTTGATGAATATTCGTGAATCGTTGTGCTTACGAGTTATAAAGGTTTTTTATTCGTACAATATAATATAACCGTTATGTTTGACTCGGCTAGTCACTCGTGGTTAAAGGAATTCCTTGTTGGTTATTGGTAAAATCGACAAGAATCAAAGAAATTAAAAATAATCGCGTTCATATTATACTCATAGTCAAGTCAATATACTACGGAGCATCAACGATTACGAGTAGGTACATATGAGCTTTGTAAGATCAGCAGATCGTGTTGTAAGAAAACAAATTGGATCTCGTGTAACTTTAAGGTAGTTCGCATTATGTATAGGTACGCGTATTTGTACGTATTATGTGTGTCTTATTTTTGTTTAAATCGTTAATGGCACTGTTTATTATTTCTTCAATAATTGTCCATTTACCCCGGCCACTGGCGGGAAGGCCTTGAATAATGAATAAAATATACTAAACCGGATATTTCTATACAAGGTGGTATAATATACATTATACAGGGTATATAGATTCTTTACACGGTGGTAGTATGAGTAGCGGAGTGTCTATACGAATGGGTAGCAAAGATTTTCCATGATTCGAGCCTTGAGGGCCCGGTCGAATGCTGCCTACTCCGGGGAGAAAAAGCATGCGGTATACTTAGGCATTGTATTTACTGATAGTATGGTAAGCCTATGCGTACACATTTATTTAACGACTCGTTTTGGGACAATGTGCCGCGTATACGAGTACGTCACAATTATGATATATTACCTTTTATATTCGCAGTGAGAAAATAAAAACCCAATTCAATATTCATAGTGAAGCGGGTCTATATTAATCTCTACAACTAAATTTTGCTTTGAGTTTATCTCACACGATAATCAATCTCTGTTTCAACTGGAAGAGATATCGCACGATGTTGGAAAAATAATCGTAACGATCCGTCATTGGTACCTATATATATATTACACTATCGCGTGTGGGCTTCTATACTCCACCAGTCACTCGCGTTGTTACGAAATGCGGAATTTCTGTGCAGTGGCTCAACTATATATTTTAATATTTTAACTATATTATAGGGTATGGTCACCTATTTTACGTCCCTATACAGTGTACAAGTGTGTTTATACAATTTTGGGAAATAGAGAAATACGGGAAATTTAATATAATTGGGTAACATAAAACTTTACTTGTCTTATTTGAAATCTTTTAAAACTCGTGTATAACTATTGACAACAGCATAGTAAACTTAAGTGGGCTCGAATGCTTGATACACATATATGCTGTCTCCGTCTATGTCTAACTTGCAGTACAACTTGCACTACGTCTTGGTAGTAAATGTTACGGTTTAAACTTAAGTATGATTTTCGAGATAATATCATATCATGTATCACGTTTAATAAAATATTATTGTCTAAAGAAAAAGTTACGGGGTTTTTACATTTTCGTTTTGTGTTATTGTGGAATCTTATACTTTATATTATACTGTCAAAAAGTACAATATGAAAATATTATGTTATATATTATACGTAATATAAATCTATGTCATTATAACGTATCCATCTATATATGCAATTCTTGTTCGCAGGTCTGGGTTTCGGTATGATCTATCTGCCTGCCATCGTGAGCGTGACGTGCTATTTTGATAAGTACAGGTCACTGGCCACCGGTATCGCAGTTTGCGGATCAGGGCTGGGCACGTTCATTTTCGCGCCGTTGGTTGATTACCTCGTGAAAGGGTACGGCTGGAAGATCACCGTGGCCGTCATATCGTGCCTGGTGTTCATGTGTACGCTGTTCGGTATGCTGTTCCGGCCGCTGAACTCATCCGCGGCCGACGACGATGGTGACGAGGACGGCGAAAGACCGGCGCTGATGAACGGCGCCGTGGCCACCACAGTCGTACTGAACATTATCGAACCGCCGGCGGCCGAGAGCCAGCCGCTGAAAAACGGTTGTGGCAGCGTGGACGCGGCCACCCGGTCATACGAGCACATACCCAATTCGGACGATGACGACGAGTGGCGTGGCGCCGGCCACGACCAGGCCGAGATGTCGCATGACGCTTTGCTGCTGTCGGACGGCAGGCGGACCAGCAAAAGCTCGGCCAAGGCCGCAGCCGCTTCCAACGCAGTGGCCGACTCCGCCAGAATCGGCAACGATCTGGACAAGCAGTCCAGGTTCACACTCAGCCAGCCGGAGCTGATCGCCGCATCCAGTTGCCGGCTCAGCTGTCGGCTCAATACTCGGCAGCGGAACGAGGTGTGCTACGCCAGCCAGAACTTAAAGCCGTCCGCGAATGGCGGCAGCGGCGGTATCATGTACCAGAAAGACATATTCTACAGCGGTAGCCTGGTTAATATAAACGTGAACCGCAGGAGGTTAGTATGTTATATGCTTAAGCTATAGTGTTGACTATATTGGTGTGGGTTTTGATCCATCTGCAGACTAAGATCGATTTTTATAATTTTATCTTATCAGAAAACTAATGTTTTGTACACGTGCGGTAGGTATACCATAACATACACAAAAATTTGTTGTTCATAATACGGTTTGATAAAATAGTATTCGTTTAAATTTGTTTTGTAAAAATGTAGTGCCATAAAATATAAATACTTAAAACTACATTATCAAGCGTGGTTTTAAAATGTATGTAGCTATTTGAATGAATCACACTGTATGCGTATCTAACTGTAAACTGTACGTATATGGCCGTGGTGTTATAAAGATAAAAAATATTTTTAACTTGAGAAAAGTAGTCTTTTTAAATTGAGTGTATATAGCTTTTTTGATGTTAAAATTTAGTATCGACGAATCGTTATTGTTGGCCTGGATGTCGTTTAGTATTTACGCCGCGACGTAAGAACATTACCTATAAAAATATAATCTAATAAAAGCTTAAAAAACATATCTTCCGTGTAGAATTGTAGACGATGGTCTATTTATTATGTGCCCTAGTTTTCTTAATCATTATAATATGTTTATAGGAGTTTATTATGACAGAATACTTCCTAGATGAGTTCCAAAGAGTTCCTATTTACCAGAGTTTCCTCTGTACCACTGCAAATATACCCGGAAGTGCGGGCGAGGACTAAATTGTACTAATATTTTGTACTGACCCGGTTATGATTACATAAATTTAAGGATAGTAATTATTAATTAATATTGTTTAAGCTATATGATGGGTTAAAATGCGTGGGCACCGATGTGTTTTAATGCGATACAGATTTGGGTTTAAATTCTCGGATTTATATATGATTACTATTCAAATATATTGATAGTCCAATGTTGACTACGCTGATAAATGACCGATGCTCGGTAAATATTGCAAATAGTATATCTGTAACCTATATAAATATTATATTATACTATGCGTGTTGCGTAGGTAGTGTGGTCGTTTATTGCAGTGAAGGGCGTAAACACCAGTGGTGGATGTAGGATGTAAAATAATAATTAGATTAAAATAAAATGTATAGGTATTAATTTATACTTATTCACATATATAATAAGCTTCAAATATTTTGAGAAAAATCAACGCTATAATAAATTAGTAGAAATAGGTAACCATCAATTAAATACGCAAATTTCAAAATTCATTATTGATATTTTGGTGCAATTAATATATTTTATATATTTTATTTAGGACGGAGCTATTGATTCTATGAAAATGTTTTCTGGAAATTCCCGGTACTTTTCTTTATATGTCATTATAGGAATAACTGACATAATTCTAAAAAAAATACTGTGTTGTAGATACTTGACATTTTCGCCAAATATTCATATCAGTATTTTCTTGTCAAGGTGTTATTTTCAAAATATTTTTCGGTTCCTCATAAGTTGTCAATTAAATTTGTAAAATCTCTTATCATTAAAGTGATAAAATACTTCACCTTTAGATTCTTCAGAGAATGTACGGTGTTATTAGCTTATAGTTGTCTCATATTGTAATATATAATAACTAAAATAGTCTTCAAGTTTTTACTTTGAACTTTAACAATTTAATGACCTTGATCAATTAATTTTAAACTATTTAAAAAGACAGGTTCTTGTAAACATTACGTTTTAAATAGGTATAGTAATTTTTTACCAACTTAACCTTGTATAATTTAAAAACTAGAATATAATCGTGATTTGTCTCCTTTTTTAAGAATAATAAGCTATTTAAATTCTAGTGTTAACTATAAAATCTAATAAATCCATTTATTTGGTTGTAAAAATACATAAAAAATAATTAATAAATAATTATCTGGACAGAAAATATAAAAATATCCATACCTATTTACCCATGTATAGATTAAAAATCTGACTGACTGATATATTAATGTATAGCTCAAACGGCCAAACTGCTGGGTCTAGAAATTTGTAATGTTGCACGAGGATTCCTTATACTATATTATTAACTGTTAGGTCTAGCCCAAGAAATGATTTTCGTAATTTTAACCACTAAAAAATCTAAAAGTGTTGTCAAAGTTATTATTTTTTTCAAGAGTTGGCTCTAGAACCACTTATTCAATCATTTAAACGGTTTTTTTTTAAATTTATAAAGCATACTACGCTCAATTACAGAGCAAGTTCTGAGCATAATTTTATAGAGTCGATTCCTCTCCTCAAAATTTAATCGATGTAATTAGAAATGCATCTGTGGTGCCATCAGTCAGTTATCACAGCAATATTTTAAAATGTAAAAATTTCTTTGGATCCAATATTCCAATGACTTGGCCGTGATAAATATCTATGTTTCTTACATAATCTATTGTTTATTTTTATGAGCTGAGGTAAACCGATACTCTTGAAGTTATAACACTTAAACTAAAATATAACAATCGCCTTATTCAATTTTCCACAGACGGAGTTTTTATCTCGCTGTTGGATTTACCCTTTAAACAATAGGTTCACTGACACGACTTGCTCGGGAAAGTATGAAGAACACTGAAATTGAAATATACCAAGCACCATATATTATGTTTACTCATTTTTTCCCCTAGTGAAGTAAGGAATACTGCTAGTGTAATATAATATATTATCCTTATTTCTTATATAAATATAACTGCTTATAAACCCACATTCTCGACGAATAATTGTTTTTCGTATATACCTATATAATGTTTTATAAGTTAAAATTGAATTCAAATTCAACACATATATTACATTATTACAGTAACCTATATTCAATGACGAGTTACACTCAAGACTTACTATACTGCTGAGCGAGTTAGTATGTTTTTCTTTAACTTGATGCTTATATAGGTACTTAAATAATTTGTCGTAAATTACGAATACAATTTTCAGCTTCCTGTATTATACATTTGTACTTTCCGATGACTGGCACTTGGCCCATGAAGATCTATTTACTTTTGTTGTTTTTTCAAGAATCATAATAAGATTATAACTTGACGATTATCTTTTATTCAGCATTAAACAATGAACTATTTTTTACATGTCAGTTACTAGGAAAAGTTTATTTTGCCATAGTAGGAATCTTTTTTCAATAATCGATTAAACAAATGTTACTTTTTGGAATTTCTATGAAAATAAAGTATTTATCGGTGTTTCTTATTATTTGATAAAAAAAACTATTGTGCGTCATGAATAATGATTGCAGATAAAACCTAATTAAAGTACCTACTTATATAATTATTAAGAGAAACTATTGCCCTTAAAAATACGTTAACACAATAATAAATAATAAGATTTGTTTTGTTCCCCTAGTTTTAAAACAATTTTGAACTTTATATTACCGAATAAAAACTTTACCTAACAGTTGTTATTAATTATAAAAAGTATCATCGTTGCATTTGACCGAGTTAATGCTTTTCGAAACTGCTGTGCTGAAAATATTTGTTCAGTTAACATAATTTACATACTAGGTTTTGTTGCATTCAACTGACGGCTTATATAAAATCCATAATATTTCTAATGTAGTTAAACGATAGAACAATGTTCTAGTGTAAACGTGCGAGAAGTGTAAACATAATGTCACATTTCGTTTGTCTCCGTCAATAATTTTCTACTAAAAACCTTTTTTTTTTAAATTATTATTGTGCTCTAATAAAAGAGCTCTCATAATTTATTATGATTTTAAGTACTTGTTCGGTAAATTTGTATAAACTTAAAAATAATAATTTTTGGTGGCTGACTTATATAAGTACAGCCTGAGGCTTATTTTTTGCCTATTTATGTATGCAGTATTAAAATGCAGTAGTATGAACCCAAAAGGTGTTTGTAACTTTGCCTCAACATGTTTACCGACATATATTGCAAAAAAAAAAAGTTAGTACCTACGTTAATTCTTATAAAAATAAGTGTTTGATTTATTTGTAAACAACACAACGAGATACAACGAAAGACTGCATAATACATTTGTATTATATATTTTCGTAGCGCTGTAGTTAGGATAGGTATGTATATTATACTATTATGTAACGATATGTACACTGCGTGAGCAACAATCACAAGTTTTGTCTCGTGTAGTATCGAATCGACCTTTATAATATGGATATGTATGAATTATTGTACTGCAGGCTAAAACCACCCTTCGCGTGTAGTGTACTTCTGCGCGTGAGGGCTTTCGTCCATTTTTTTCAAGTATGAAGATGGTTTAATATTTTTTTTAAACTAAAGTACGTCCTAGTATGGCACGCCCTGTTGACAGAATCGACCTAAACCCTAACAAATGGTGGGATTTTTCGATTTTTCTCAACTCGTCGCACCGTGTGAATCGCGTTGAGAGCTATTCTTCCGTGTTGGTAACACCATTTCAACAATTGTAACACTTCTGCTGATTTTCAAAACAGATAATTTACGTGGTCTATGTTCGAAAAATACAATGGCTAATATGTTCAATGTTCATTATTAAAATGCTGTACGTTGCGATTTGAAAATAACCAAAATGTATCAATCTAATGTGCCCTTTATAATCAAATCCTTTCAAATATAGAAAAAAAATTAACAATAGTCAAAATTGTATTTTGATGAAACTAAAAACTGAATAACTATAGGCACTCAACATTTTGTCCAAACATTTTTATACATTCATTAAATACACAGAGTATAATTTTCGAAATATTTTGACTGTATTCATAAATGTATAGATATTTGAATATTTTGATTTTTTTAAATTTTTTTTTCTTTAAATATCGACAAACATTCGAACTGTTAAAAGACTTGAAAACTGTATACATACAAGGATCCTCGTATGTTGCTTTTATAGCTATTCAAAAATATTGGTTCCTAAGGCACGATTATCAAATTTTGGAGAAGTATGTTGTAATTCAAAAATATTGTTCTCAGGAATTTATTGCATATAGGTATTATTATATTTTATGCACACATTGACATTTTCAAACCATTTAGATTTTAAATTTACGCTGTTGTCTATTAATTATAGTTGATACCGTATTACTAATAGTTAAACAAATTACTATTAGATATAATTAATAACAATTTAAAATATATGATAATTTAGGCTGACAGACTGCCTCCGCTCAGAATCGTTTTTCATGCATGTAATCATTTATCATTGAATTCGAATTGAATACATCCATTACAATGACCTACTCGGTGACCAGGTACACTTACTTCCCACTTTACAGCACAGCTGATGTCTACTTTCCCCTTTTTTATTATTATAGGTGAATTTCGTGCTTTAAATACTATCCAAAATAGTACCTAGGTGTTACCTGTCTGCATCATAATACTCGTGTCAAGTTCTTATCTTGTTTTCAATATTATATTTAACCGTATTAGATAGGTACCTACTTTTGAAAAATGTGTTAGTCACATATTATTTGTTTGTTCCGTATTCATCTCTTTATTTTTATAGACACGTTTTCTTATCTCTTAATATAGTGAAAAAAAATATTTTTATCGGTAATTCAGCTCCACATATATTTTACACCCAATTGAATATAATTGCTGATTGTATATAGTATGTAATAAATAATAATATACACTGCTCGAATGTTTGACCGTTAAAATTCTTCATTGTCATATTATCATGTTCTAATTTCATACTGGTATAAATGTCCATGAAATACAAACACTTTGTTTACTAATGAAAACAAAAAAATGTAGATACGCTTCAATAAACACTATTTTCGTGCTCTATCAGGGAAGATAAATCTTTTAAGAAAGGTTTTTTTATATCCGATTTCTGTATTGAGTTCTACTGTAAAATGTAAATACATTAAACCACGTACAATTGTATACACATAACATGAAATTGTGTATGATATTTTGTATTAGGTTTCACATTTATTTTCAAGTGTTCGAGTTATCTAGAATTATAAATATACTTCATGAAATAAGTATTGCATGAGAGACAGTGATTTTCGAAAAAGTTACAGTTGGTTTTTAATTAACTTAAAAGATATAAAATATGACTATTGGTAAATGAGCATCATTATCTTTCTACAAATACTTATAAGATATTTTTGAATTCGGATTTTTTTTTGTCATATTTTTCGCTAAAATGATTATTTAATATTTTACTTTTTTGGTAAATATTAAAAATACAGAAAAAGTACATGTACCGAAATAATAAATAGGTTAGGTTTTTCATCTATTAGAATTAATTTTATAAGTTCTCTCAAGTAAAATAATCTTCAATATTTTAAATAGAAACAACACTTTTCTGCTTGCAATGGGTCTATTTTTAGCTTTGAAAATTGGAGTCTCTAATAATTGAATTATACCATTGAAATTAATTGTATTCCAATTATGCCGGGTTGCAATGGAAAGTGTATTCATATAACGGTCCAATAAAATTTAATGGAACAATCATTGGTCACTAAATCATGTTTAAAGGACCTAAAGCTCACTATTGATTCATTAAATGATTAGTGATTGTTCATGCAACTTGGCAAGTTTTATGTAGTATATATGAGTTTTATTCTAATTTATAAATGCATTTAATCGTAATAATAACATGAATTGTATTTATTGGCATGTTTAAAACTTTCTCAGTGATTCTTTCCACGTAACTCTGACTGGTGTGCTGTGGACGAATCGTCAAAAGTTGATCATTAAAATCTTTTTTTTATTTATTTGAAGAAATCTACAATCTATGCATGGTTTTTGTACAATAAGTAGGTTTGGTGAGTGACAAGTAAAAAAATAATATGGGTAATTAGATTAGGGAAGATACCCAGTGGTAACCCTATATTAAAATCTAAAAATCTTATTATTCTAATTAATATCAACAAAGAAGTGAACTAAAAATTAATATTTTTTGAATTATTTATAATCTCATTTTCAATTTGCATTTAAAGATATACAACATTTTTCAATTCGCCTGAAATGAAAAGTGCAACAAATGCAATTGAACCATGATATTATAAATTAAATAATATCATTTTTAACTAGCTTTAATGAAAATACCGTCAGTACATTTTATTATTCAATTAGAATTCAAGTCAATGTTGTATGACTGATTTTTGAAATCTGGGAAGTCTTTGTCTGTGGATGTGTGTGTAGTGTGGGAATGTGTGAGATGGGTGCCTAATTCGGTGAAAAATCGGTTTTCCTATTTTGTCATATAACTACACTTATTAATATCTCCTATACTTTTCTAAATACTGATATACCTAACAGTTAAAACACCTAAGCAAACCTAACACATGTATGTATCCTCAGGACCATATCGCAGTCAACCAACGCTGGTGCTTATGCCACCGAAATGACCAACACAAACATAGAAAGCGACCAATTTTCGGACGGTATCTGTTGTTCTGCCGATGCCAAGAGCACAATAAAGACAATGCTGGATTTCTCACTACTTAAAGACCCCGTATTCATACTGTACACAATATCCAACTTCTTGACGAGCATTGGCTTCAACATACCGTACTTGTACTTGGTGGTGAGTATGTATAAAGACTACTTAAATACCTGTAGGTACTTTGTGGTAAATATAATATATTATATACACTGTTGCGTTAGTATAGCAGGTACGCATCTCTATTCATACTGATGCAATCATTTTGTTCACCACGGTTTAAATATTACATTTTTGGAATGTACAAAAAACTTAATACTAATTTAATAATTTTAACTGAATAACAAGTCCTAGGTTGCAATTAAATTGAAAAAATTACTTTTTTATTGACATTTTTCAATGTAATTTATATAATTTATTACATTTTATTAGTTCATCATATACTTAATGTAAAAACAGGTTATTTTTTCGATTATTTATTTATTATTAATTATTATTATTATTATGTCGTGCTAATAGTATTACTTGTTCCAGCCTCAAGCCACCATGATGGGCATAGCATCGAATCATTCAAGTTACCTGTTAGCGTTATTGGGCATAGCCAACACATTGGGAAGGATCATACTCGGATTTATATCGGACAAACCGTGGATAAATAGGCTCATGGTGTACAATCTGTGTTTAACTGTTTGTGGTATAGGTAAGCGTACATTTTCTATTAACACTTTTTTCCCAGACAAATACGACAGCTGTAGTTCGGATTCAGGGTGCAATGTACATTTGAACAAATTCATTAATGTGAAGTCGCGTTTTTATGGACGTGTCTTATTGGCAGCATTATTATATAATTTATTCAAATAAGGCTGTCGTCAAGGAGTTGTGTTAATGTGATACATTTTGATGTTTTGACAACGCACATTGAATATTATCAATTATTTTATACTATTGTATTATACAGGCACGTGTTCAAAATAAAACATGTATAGGACATAAGTCTTATCAGCTTTGATTCTAACTGTGGCCAAATAAGTGTATACCTATATCGAGTATTAACTATATATATATATATGTATTATAATCATATACAAACGGTCGATATTGGTCACAGCAAATCACTATTGCCTTTGTAGCCTTGTAGCCAAAAGACAAAAACTGTTTGCTTGACTGCTGAAGCATAAACAGTGTTATATACTTATAGATTTTTTCAAAATTTAAATTTGGTAATCATTTTTGGCTAAGTGATGATGAATTATACGTATAAGTTGAGTATCATTTTAACACCTATTAATTACGTGTAATTGGTATTGTGCTCACTTATATATTATACAGCTTTAAATTATAATAGGTATTTTAAAATAATGTTTGGTTTGATAAAGTATAAATATTTTTTCAACCTATTAGATTCTAAGGGGAGTAAAGAATGTAATGAAGTTAGATGGTACTACTTATACCCACTTTTTTAAACTGACTTTTCATAAATTATTATTGTTTTGTAACTTTTTTAGAACAGTATATGTGGCAACCAGTTTCATGGATAAATGAAAATATTTTTGTATAATAATATATATTTTTTAAATTTTTTTTGTTAGTCTAAACTCATCAGTTATTACCTTTAAGGAAGAAAAAAATGCTTCAATATTAAATTTTGAGGGTGATTTCTGTAAGAAAATTAGTTTTAAAAAAAAATTTGTATTTTGGGAATTCAAAATCAAAAGTTTATTGTTCTTTTAAATATAATTGGAAAAAACCAAAAAAAATTCAGAAAAACGGAAGTAATTATGCAACAGTTTTAACTGAATCAACTTTCTTAATTTGTTTTAATTAAAAAATAATAACTTCTATCTCATAGATACTTGCTTAAAGACCATATTTTTAAACATAATAATTCTGTGAGCCGTTTAAGAAGTGTCTTATGGCGTTCTTTATTACATAAAAGTGTATTTGTTTCATACAATTGTGCTTATTTTTAAGTGTTAAGTACCGAACCCTATTTGTGGTACGCACATGGCACATCGCTTACTATTTACCTGCCACATCTTCGCCTATCACTTATTGTAGTATTATCTATAACCATTTAGTTATTATAATATTTAATTATTTTAAATATTTTAAATATTCTGTCAATTATATGATTTTTTGGTTTGTTTCATGGCGCAGCTACGATGTTGAGCACATACTGCACGGGCATAGTCTCGTTATCCTTGTACACTATCGTTTTCGGATCCACGATCGGTGCGTACGTCGGTCTGACTTCGGTGATCCTGGTGGACCTGCTGGGCCTGGATAAATTGACAAACGCTTTTGGAATCCTGTTGATGTTTCAGGGCATTGCCTCACTCGTCGGACCACCCATAGCCGGTAACCCATTTATTTAATCCGTTGCGCATTGCATATTACATTATTATGCATTCACGACAATCGGTAATATATTATGATGATTAATAATGGTATGTAAGACCTCCCGAATAAGCTCGTCTTCATTCCGACGTCTATCGATAGATTATGCGTTCCGAGAAAACGTTAATCCTGCATCAAGAATTTTAATGTAAATCCATTAAGAAGTCGTCGGTGCGGTATTTGTTCTTGTGATGGGTGCGCATGAAATATATCATATAGGTATATTAAACCTCAACGATTGATTATTGTAGAGCGATATCAGTTAGTCACATCAGTGTCCCAATGTCCCTCGGACATCGTATAATTATTATATTTTTTCCGACAATATACCAAAATTCCCTGAAGCAAAACCAGAATCTGTTACATTTAGGACAATGTTAGAGTTTACACAACTATTATCAAAGTTGAAGAGGAAAATATGTTCGAGATAATTTGGTTTTATATTTTATAAAATTTAGTCTAATGAAGAAGTAACTATAATTAATTTTCTTTATACTACTATATTATACGTACTATTATAACTTCTTTGTTAGACAATTTTGCACCTATTATTATTATTGAATCGTAAACATAAATATGTAGAAAATTAAAAATGTTATGTTTTGGTGATCAAGATAAAATATTATGATGATAAAAAAGATTCATACTTGCAGATTTTGAAGCTGCAATACGTTACAATATTGATCAGTGAGACATTATTTCCAATTGGGGGAGGTGGGCAAAAACTAACACGCAGTGAAACATCCTATAGCATCCTGTATTGTTTTGTGCCTGTAGGCATATCATTTGTACCAGTGGTTCCCAAACGTTTACGACCACGGCACCTTTAGGAAAAAGTTTCGTGTCTTGTGGAACCCCAATTTCCCTATAACGAATTATACAGCAATATTGTATTAATGACTATTATTTAGGTAAACTTTTTTTTCAAGTATAATATATAAAATAATCTTCCCAATATTCACTTATAGGTACATAATACATATGGTATAGTAAAATACAATAATATCGATTGCCGTAAATTGATAACTTCATGCCATATAACTACTGATAATATTACGATATTTCGATAGCAATATCACATATTGATATCGATATTATAAAGATGCCTGTTTAATTTTAAATAACTTAATTTTTTTTTATTAATGTAGGGTGGCTGTACGACGTGACGGGCTCTTACAACCCGGGTTTCTACCTTTCGGGATCGAACATCGCCGCCAGTGGTGTGATGCTGTTCATCATACCGTTCGTCCAGCGGCAGTGTGAACGGAAGGAACTCGAGAAAATGACTGCAGTAGTAAATAATTAACACATAATGACAGACGGACACACACACAATGTACTCCTATACGAATTGTTATAAATGTTACGTTATATGGGAAATTATTTAAAAAAAAAAAAAATCATCGACAAAAATCAAATATATTATAGATAATATTATATACGTTAAAACGTACCCCCAGGACTGTAACGCGCAGAGGGCGTTTATATTTTGTATTTTCATTATTTATTTTTTATTCTCTGCCCCGCGGGGAGATTCCGTTGCCGCGTTCTTCCTGTTTCAATTTTTGCTCAAAATATATTTTTTATGAATATAATATGATATAGGTTTACATTTAATATTATAGCTATTTCGTCGTTTTTAGTTTTAACCGTGAATTTGTGTTTCCGGCTAGCAGGCGAAGGCACTTCGTGATACACACGAATATAATGTAAAATATAATAAATATTATATACTTAAGTTCTATTTTTCTGTTTCGTTTAATTATTACACATTCGTCTCGTGATTTTCATATTGCCTATTTTCCGATTTCTTTTACTGCTGATTTTTTAACGAATTGGTTTTTCGAATTTACTGAATATCTGTTGAATTTTTCAATTATATATAATATTTATAAAAACCGAAACTAAGTGTATTTTTTCAAAGGACCAAAACACTCATATTATTTTACATAAATTATTGTACCCATAATACTAATCAAGGTGAGCGGTTATAAAATAATTCAATGGCCTAATAATCTGTTGAAATTTGATGATAATAATCATCGAATAATTAAAATTAAATATTAATCAAAGTTGTATAAATCTATCGGGAATCAAATTATTTTAGATAGGATCATTAATGTTTCGAAAGTTTTTCAACGGTGAAACACTAAACCGTTTTCCGCTGGTTTTATTTAGTGCCTACTCAATTAATTTTTTAATTGATTTCCGAGACAACCGAAAACAAATTGTCCTAACTAACTCGCTAAACATAATAATAATTTAAAAAATATACCTATAAAAATAACCTTTTAAGAAAAAATCAATTTTGTTTGCATAATTCGCACGCGATGTTTCAATAAATCGATACTCCAATATTCTTGTGAAGTATTTGATGATATAATATCTACCTTACACAATACACCTACATAATATTACAATATACAGTATAAATATAATATATATTATTGATAAAATTAAGTTTAATATTTTATTATTGTGTACAAAAATATGTTTGCAAGTGACGTTTTGATGATTTTTGGACGACCGCACGCGTCTGCCTAAGACGTGTTAGTAATGTAATTCTACACATAACCTGTATAGAACACCTGATTCCGGGATACCGTATGCCGCGACAGTCGACTACGACTTTCACACACGTATATAATATAATAGCATAGACATAATCAACGATTTTTGAATTTATCCGTTTTTTTTTTGTCGAAAGCATTTCAAGAAAAGTTTAATTAAACACGCAAGCGACCTACACACATCCTCACACGCATTCTTAACTTTGTATTACCAAGCTATTAATATTATCTATCGACAAACAAAAATATATTATAAAATACAAGTTTTTCCGTTTCGGGGACACCAGACTGTTGATATGTCGCAGACGAGGATTACTAAACAGTGTATTATTATTTTTAATATCTTATTATTATTATTATTATTTTAATTATTATTATGATTATAATTTAATATTTATATAAATTATATCGCGGTCGTCCACTTGACAGTGCGTACCATACGCATGTTTGCTGTCCGAGCGACTTATTATTGTATTATTATTACTATTATTACTACTATTATTATTACTATTTTTTTTTGTCGCCATTAGAAAAATGTGCCATTTATTAATGTTTTTAAATCGTCATCTTTGTTAAACTCAACAATATATGTCCCTTAGTTATTTTATTTTATATATTTTTGTTACACACGACACAAAATCAAAGAAAAAAACTGAGAGGCCAATTATTTAATGTTAAGTATTAACTATGTATATAAGGAGTTATTGTTATCTTAAGCATAATGATGTGCAGGAATATTTTTAATAAACGCTTTTTCGATGTACAAAACTATGTTTTGCTCTCTATTTGTGTAACACTATGTCATAATCTAGGTTATAATATTTGTTTGGATGCCAAACTAGAACAGATAAACCAAATATCAACAAAAAATTGATAACATCCATGATTCTATTAAGTGTAAATCGATAAATGTTTGAATTTAAAAATTCAAAGTTACAGCTTTTCAGTGCAACTTAAATACTCATTACTCAACCTACTATCCACTAAATCAAATATCAAATTATATCACATGATAGGAAAATGAAAGAATCCAGGTAAAAATACTAAAATGTAGTATATTTTATAAACAAATTATTCATAAAAATGTGGAACCTAGAAGGGTGAGGGAATTTCTGTTTTATTATTACAAGATAATATTATTCATTATTATTGATAACAAAATAATCATGTCAATACTATAATCATTTAAGACTGTTCACAATACTAGACAAAGGCCTTGAATTAAATCTATATCCAATTTCAGATACCGTCTTAAGTTCATCATTCTGAAGTAATTTTAATATGGAAAATGTATCACCATTATGTTGAAGCATATCACTGTCTAAATTTAATATGGAATTTACCAAATCTTCGATGTCACTATTGTTTGGATCCTATTTGTACATGCATATTTAAAACAATTTTATTTTAAAAGAAACATTTCAAAATAATTACTTTATAGTTTTTGAGGCAGATCATTAAAATCTTATATATTGTATCTGTAGGCAAATTAACAGAATGTCTTTCATTCATACTGTTAGAACTATCCAATTCATCAACCATAATGTTTTGATCCGTTACTAAGCTGATGGCTTTCATTAATCCCACAAATGAGTGGTTGTCTTTGCATAGAACTAGTAGCATTGTAACATAATCTAATTTTCCATTAATAGAAAAAGTTTTAAATAACAACTCTTTGATTTTTATAAATCGAAAATAAATTGAAGGATTTGGTGGTAAAATTTTCTGATACCACAGCAAAACTGAATCAAATTCATCCTTATCTATGGTACCTGAAAATTATTAAATTAGTTACAAGTTAAAGTAGCTAACTGAAAATAGATACCTTCTGTATAATTTTGATTAGGATTTTTTTGTCTTTTTTTCTCCAATTCCGAATATTGGTTTTTGAGATATAACAAATCTTCAACGTTAGGATTAGGAAGTTCCAAACAATGTATTATAAAATCGGACCAATCAACAAAGTTTACATTGTATCCAAACATAGTGCGCAGTACAAAATTGGTTGTATTAAACCACCTATTAACCACTTAATATTAAAATTAATATTTCATTAGTATTTATTCATTTTTAACAATAATTTACTCAATTTCAGGATGATGTTTTAAGTAAGTTTGTAGTAAACTAGAAAGTGCAACTAAAGAAATACGTCGATTCGGACAATTTGCCACCAATTTATTTGTAATTTTCTTTAGATTATGAATAGTTACAATGCACTGATCTTCAGGTTCTAATAAAGGAAAGGGATGGGGTGGAGGGTTACTTGGCTGCAGAACATTGTCAGCATTCAGATAAAAATTATTGTCGAAAAATATGATTTCATGGCGAACATATTGTTTCTCATTTATGGCAGCTTCAAATAAATTACATATACAATCAATTCCAGAAAGCTCTTTTTGTAGACAATCATCTATTCGTCGATTAATATCTAATTGATTCTGCACAATATAACTTTCCATTTCCTATTGTCGGATTACATACACTTTTAATTTAGACATCTAAAAATGTTCTCTGGTTGTATAATGACATGCAGAAATGAATAACTAAAAAAAATATTTTAATGTTCAAAAATATATTATAAGAAAATTACCTTAATGTCCTTATGAAATCTGTTTAGTATCAATTTTAATTGATCGGTAGATCTAAAATTCTCCTTATCTGTCAAGAATTTCCATATTTTCAAATACACAGAACTGCTTTCTAATGGATTTGCACTGTGGATTTTCTTCATTTCTGCTAACCATTCATATGTGAGTTTTAATGTGGCTCTGAGCTTATTATTAACCATGATTATACTGGCTTCGAGCCATTTAAAATAATACTCAACACTTGCCACTTGTTCTACCCCCTTTGATTTAAATTCTAGCTCTTTCGATAATGTAACTCCAATATGGTTTGGAATTACTGATGCAGTTAACTTTTTATTGTATACTTTAGACATGTATGAATGAATGAAAAGTATAGTATTCACTGTTCGATCAACCTAATTCAATAAAATCAGTGTTTAAGTCATTTTTTTCAATAAAACGCATAATATTTAACAAACTTCGGTTTGTAACATATGCTTATAAACTAGAATCATTGAATTCATTGCATCATCAAGCCTTTTATCAATGTTTTCATTTCTTATAAATTGTCTACAATCCTTTATTTTCTGATTTGTCAATTGTGTTAGGATAACTCTAGTATCCGCTACAGTCGAAATCAATTGTCTAGTCAAATCAGGCATCACCAGTGCATCATTTGGTATTTTTAACAAGTCAGATTGTAATGCTTTAACGAGTTCTATTTTTTCTATATTTTGTTGTTTTAGTATTTCGTTAATATAGTTATTAATTGAAGACATATAAGGCATTTGGTTAGAAATAAGTATTCTTCTATTAAAGAAACACAATCCCATGTTCTGAATAAAGTTTTTTTCCATTGACATCCAAAACTGTACTAATACTGTTCCAATGTCAGCATTGATTTGTATATTGAACAATTTCGATTTAACTTCTTCGGGCCTAGTTATATCACCTTTAGAGTCAAGTAATTCATTTGAAATCATGTTTACTTTACTGGATGATATGTAATCCAAATATTCAAATTCTGATTTCCCATGCAATCTTTTTCTTTTAAACACACTTTTTGTTACTTTTATTGGTGAACTTGAACTATTCTTAAATCCACTTGAACTCTTTGCAGCCTCATAATTGTCTTGGTATTTTTTCATATCATGAATACAATTCACCCAATTACTCTCGTTAGACCAGTTCACGTTTTGACCATTTAAAACATCACATATTAATTCAATCTTATAGTTATCCAAATCCACATCTTTACTTTTTGTTTGTA